GCCAGGGATGTTTCCTATGCCTGTTTTGGGTACCAGGGATGTTTTGGATGCCAGGGATATTCCCTCTGCTCATTTTAGGTGCCAGGGATGTTCCCTGTGCCCCTTTTTGGGTGCCAAGGATGTTTTGGGTGCCCCTTTTTGGGTGCCAGGGATGTTTTCTGTGCCCCTTTTGGGTGCCAGGGATGTTCCCTCTGCTCATTTTAGGTGCCAGGCATGTTTCCTGTGCCTGTTTTAGGTGCCAGTGATGTTCCCTGTGCCCCTTTTGGGTGCCAGGGATGTTCCCTGTGCCCCTTTTTGGGTGCCAGGGATGTTCCCTGTGCCCCTTTTGGGGGAAAGGGATGTTCCCTGTACCCCCTTTAGGTGCTAGTGATGTTTGGGTGCCACTGATGTTCCCTCTGCTCATTTTGGCTGCCAGAGATGTTTTGGATGCCAGGGATGTTCTCTGTGCCCCTTTTTGGGTGCCAGGGATGTTCTCTGTGCCCCTTTTTGGGTGCCAGGGATGTTCCCTGCATCTGTTTTGGGTGTCAGGGATGTTCCCTGTGCCCCTTTTTCAGGGGGATGTGATCCCAAATCCCTGCTTTCCCTAAAAGGATAAATTAAAAAAAAAATTTAAAAAATACCCATTTTCTATCAAAAAGGATCCCCTTTTTCAGGGGGATGCGATCCCAAACCCTTGATTTTCCTAAAAGGATACATTTAAAAAAAAATCTAAAAGAATAACCATTTTGTATTAGAAAGGATCCCTGTTTTCAGGGAGAAGTGATCCCAAATCCTTGCTTTCCATAAAAGGATACATTTTTTAAAAAATCTAAAAAAAATACCAATTTTCTATCAAAAAGGATCCCCTTTTTCAGGGGGAAGTGATCCCAAATCCCTGCTTTCCCTAAAAGGATAAATTTAAAAAAAATCTTTAAAAAATACCAATTTTCTATCAAAAAGGATCCCCTTTTCCAGGGGGGTGTGATCCCAAATCCTTCCTTTCCCTAAAAGGATTATTATTGTGTTTTTCAAACCTAAAAGAATACCCATTTTGTATCAAAAGGGATCCCTTTTTTCCCATATAAAGGACCTTTTTTCCCCACACAAAGAACACCTCTTTTCCTCCATAAAGGACATTTTACCCCCTCATTTTCTTCTCCACCAGGCCAACCCCACGCTCCACTCCACCAGCACAGGAGTGCACTGGGAGCTCCCACAGCCCAGAACAGTTTTTCCTCCAAGTTCTTCCTGTCCAAGTCTCTCCCTTTCTGCACTAATCAACCCCCGTGGTTATTTCAGCAGACACTAATTACTGCCACCGACTAATTAATGCCAGTTGCCTTCCCTGCTCTCTCTGCAGTGTTTGGAAGGCGCTGACACCAATTAAAGGCCTCCTGCAGGCTCGGGGCTGGCATCAGCCTGAGCTTTCCTGAAGGTCACCAGCGTTGGCACAAAGTGTCCCCAAGCCCAGGGATGGCACCAAACCCAGCTGGGATTCCTGAAAATCATCAGTATTGTCACAAATTGTCCCCAAGCCCAGGGATGGCACCAAATCCAGCTGGAATTCCCAAATCCAGCTGGGATTCCTGGTCACCAACATTGGCACAAATTGTCCCCAAGCCCAGGGATGGCACCAAATCCAGGTGAGCTCCCCAAATCCAGCTGGGATTCCTGAAAATCACCAAGATTGTCACAAATTGTCCCCAAGCTCAGGGAGGTCACCAGTATTGTCATAAATTGTCCCCAAGCCCAGGGATGGCACCAAATCCAGCTGGAATTCCTGAAAATCACCAAGATTGTCACAAATTGTCCCCAAGCTCAGGGATGGCACCAAATCCAGCTGAGCTTCCCCAAATCCAGCTGGAATTCCTGAAAATCACCAAGATTGTCACAAATTGTCCCCAAGCCCAGGGAGGGCACCTGAACTTCCCCAAATCCAGCTGGCGTTGCCTCCATCCCGGTGCAGCTTTGGGAGGTGTGAAAAATGTCTGGTTTATGATTGGCTTTTTGCAAATATTCAAATGAATATTGTATGTGTCGTGTTAGAGAGTGATGCTGTGTGAGGTTTTAGGTTTTGTTCTAATTTCAGAAAGGGAAATCTCCCCCATCCCTTTCCTGGCTCTCAGCATCCAGAATTTGCTGGAAATCTCCTCCTTCCCTCAGCATCCATGAGATCAGCTGCCATCTCCCTTAGAGAACATTTCCTTGTTATGTCTGATGTGGGAAAACCACACAAACCTGCTGGGTATAGAACTTAAACCAAGAAACCACATTCTAGAATGAAGTTTATCCATTCTGGCTAAAAGCTAGGACTGGTCAGAAAATAGGGTTGGTTTTTCAGTGAAATTCTGGCAAATGAAAAGCAAATTCAAAACCATATCAACTGAAATTTTTTATCAGTAAAAGAACTGAATTTCAGACTTGCAGTATTTCCCATGCACTGGAAATGTTGAGGGTTTTTTTCTAATGTCAGAAAGGGAAATTTCCTCCATCCCTTCCCTGGCTCTCAGCTCCAGGATTTGTTGGAAATTTCCTCCATCCCTTCCCTGGCTCTCAACTTCAGGATTTATTGGAAATTTCCTCCCTCCTTTCCCTGGCTCTCAGCTTCAGGATTTGTTGGAAATTTCCTCCATCCCTTCCCTGGCTCTCAGCTCCAGGATTTGTTGGAAATTTCCTCCATCCCTTCCCTGGCTCTCAACTTCAGGATTTATTGGAAATTTCCTCCCTCCTTTCCCTGGCTCTCAGCTTCAGGATTTGTTGGAAATTTCCTCCATCCCTTCCCTGGCTCTCAACTTCAGGATTTGTTGGAAATTTCCTCCTTTCCTCCTGGCTCTCAGCCTCCAGGCTTTGCTGGAAATTTCCTCCATCCCTTCCCTGGCTCTCAGCTTCAGGATTTTTTGGAAATTTCCTCTGTCCCTTCCCTGGCTCTCAGCTCCAGGCTTTGCTGGAAATCTCCTTTTTCCCTCCTGGCCCTGCCAGTGCTGAGGGATTGAGCCCCAGCCCCTGAGGCTGGGTCAGTGGAGGTGAGAGCTCCCAGCTGAACTGCAGGGAGGTGTCATTGGTATTAACAGCCCTGCTCAGACTCGTTATGCAAATGAGGGGAGAGGAGCCAATTGAGTTATTCATCTTTAACCTTTGTTTTGGGTCCCTGTGACCCCCCCAGGGAGGCTCCTGTTGCTGCCCTGCCTCAGGGTGATGGTTTGTGCTGCTGGCCTGGGCCCCAGAGCTGCACCCAGGGGATGCCAGCCTGATCCCACCTGCACATCCCTGCCTCTGGGTGATCCCAGGTGACCCCACCTGCACATCCCTGCCTCTGGGTGCTCCCACCTTGATCCCACCTGCACATCCCTGCCTCTGGGTGCTCCCAGGTGATCCCACCTGCACATCCCTGCCTCTGGGTGCTCCCACCTTGATCCCACCTTGATCCCACCTGCACATCCCTGCCTCTGGCTGATCCCACCTTGATCCCACCTTGATCCCACCTGCACATCCCTGCCTCTGGGTGATCCCACCTTGATCCCACCTGCACATCCCTGCCTCTGGGTGATCCCACCTTGATCCCACCTGCACATCCCTGCCTCTGGGTGCTCCCAGGTGATCCCACCTTGATCCCACCTGCACATCCCTGCCTCTGGGTGCTCCTGGGGGGATCCCAAGGGATCCCACCTGCACATCCCTGCCTCTGGGTGATCCCACCTTGATCCCACCTGCACATCCCTGCCTCTGGGTGCTCCTGGGGGGATCCCAGGGGATCCCACCTGCACATCCCTGGCTCTGGGTGCTCCTGGGGGGATCCCAGATGATCCCACCTGGATATTTTGCCCTGGGGGTGATCCCACCTGGACATCCCTCCCTAGGGGTGCTCCTGGGGGTGAGCCCAGGGGATCCCACCTGCACATCCCTGGCTCTGGGTGCTCCTGGAGTGAGCCCAGGGGATCCCACCTGGACATTTCCTCCCTGGGGATGCTCCTGGGGGTGATCTCAGGCGATCCCAGGTGATCCCACCTGGATATCCCTCCCTGGGGGTGATTCCAGGTGATCCTAGGTGCACATCCCTCCCTGGGGGTGCTCCCGGGGGTGATCCCAGGTGATCCCCCCTGCACATCCCTCCCTGTAGATGCTCCTGGGGGTGATCCCAGGTGATCCCCCCTGCACATCCCTCCCTGGGGGTGCTCCCGGGGGTGCATTCCCAGCCCTGCAGGGAGGAGGGCGCTCAGGGTGGCACCAGGTTCACAAATCACAGCCAGGGACACGTTCCCTTCTCCCAGCTGTGCTCCTGTGCCTCTGATCCCGAGGTCCCTCCTGCTTCTGGAGCTCCAGGTGGGGCTGAGGAACCTGAGGACATCAGGAACACCCACCTGGATGGGTTTTTATCAGGAGCAGGAGTGACAGGAAACAGGGAATGGGTGGGGCAGGGCTGGGTGGGATAGGGCAGGAATCCTTTCCCTCTCTGCAGGGCCCTGCTGTGGGGCTGGGGCTGCGTTTTTAGCCTGGCTGTGGGGTGGCTTTGAGGCTGTGGGGTGTGCTTTGAGGTTTTGGAGTGTGCTTTGAGGCTTTGGAGTGTGCTTTGAGGCTTTGGAGTGTGCTTTGAGGTTTTGGGGTGGCTTTGAGGCTGTGGGGTGTGCTTTGAGGTTTTGAGGTGTACTTTGAGGTTTTGAGGTGTACTTTGAGGCTTTGGGGTGTACTTTGAGGCTTTGGGGTGTGGGGAGAGGCTGGGATGGGATTCCCCAGGAGCTGTGGCTGCCCCAGCCCTGGAATTGTCCCAGGCCAGGTTGGATGGGGCTTGGAGCACCCTGAGTGCTGAAATGTGTCCCTGCCATGGCAAGGGGTGGCACCGGGTGGATTTTCAGGTCCCTTTCCAGCCTGAGTGCCACAGCTTGGTGGGAGCTGCTGTGGCACATCCCCATCCATCCCCATCCATCCCCATCCATCCCCATCCATCCCCATCCATCCCCATCCATCCCCATCCAGCCCTGGGCACCAGCTCTGGGCTCTGCTGACCTCTCTGTGTTGCCTTGCAGGGCTTCCCTGGCCCTCCCCACGCCGTCCTGGCCCTGAGCTGCGAGCAGAGAGCCCTGAAGGAGAAGCAGGAGCAGAGCCCTGGCTGGGATTTCGGGAGCAGCAGCAGCGAGCTGGCCATCAGGATAGGTAGAGCTGGGCTGCAGCCAGGCAAGCATCCTGTCATATCCCACCCCCGAGGGCACAGAGCCCCCTGCTGCCTTTCCTTTCCTTTCCTTTCCTTTCCTTTCCTTTCCTTTCCTTTCCTTTCCTTTCCTTTCCTTTCCTTTCCTTTCCTTTCCTTTCCTTTCCTTTCCTTTCCTTTCCTTTCCTTTCCTTTCCTTTCCTTTCCTTTCCTTTCCTTTCCTTTCCTTTCCTTTCCTTTCCTTTCCTTTCCTTTCCCCTCATCTTTCCCCTCATCTTTCCCCTCATCTTTCCCCTCATCTTTCCCCTCATCTTTCCCCTCATCTTTCCCCTCATCTTTCCCCTCATCTTTCCCCTCATCTTTCCCCTCATCTTTCCCCTCATCTTTCCCCTCATCTTCCTTTTCCTTTCTCCTTTTCCTTTCCCCTCATCTTTCATTTCCTTTCTCCTTTTCCTTTCCCCTCATCTTTCATTTCCTTTCTCCTTTTCCTTTCCCCTCATCTTTCATTTCCTTTCTCCTTTTCCTTTCTCCTTTTCCTTTCCCCTCATCTTTCATTTTCTTTCCCCTTTTCCTTTCCCCTTTTCCTTTCCCCTTTTCCTTTCCCCTTTTCCTTTCCCCTTTTTCCTTTCCCCTTTTCCTTTCCCCTTTTTCCTTTCCCCTTTTCCTTTCCCCTTTTCCTCTCTCCTTTTCCTTTCTCCTTTCCCCACTTGCACTGTCTGGCCCATGAATTATTTATTGCTCCCTGTCTCTGTGCTGTGCTGCAGGAGTGAAACCCTGGGGTTGTTTCCAGTTCTGCCTCTGTCCCCGTGGCTGCCCCAGCCCCAGCTGTGCCCCCTCATTCTGGGGGTGAATCCAGAGGCTGCGACACGCAGCTCTTTGCTCCTTAAACAGATTCTAAGGAAGGAATTAAATAAATCTGGGTGGTTCTTTGGGCTTCCCCAGGCTGGTTTTGGGGTGGGTGCTGGGGACAGGTCCCCTGAGACAGCACGAGTGGCTCTTCCTCCACTCAACAGCTCTCCAGGAGACAAAACTGCAATTTAGCCAATTAATTTTATTTCTCCTCTGATTATTTGCTCGGGATTGTGGTTTGAAGCATCACGGGTGCAGCTGGGAGCAGATTGGTTCGAAGGAATGGTTTTTTCCTTTTGCAAGGAGCTGCTCTGCTCCCCTCTGAAATCAGCCTCTTTTATTTACCCCCACTGCTTTAATTGCACGGTTCCTAAAAACGCTGCAAATGCTCGGGGTTTCTGCAGCAGCCTGGCTTTTTCCAGAGGGATGGGAGGATTTTTCCTGAGCTTTGCATGCTCTGGGTCCTTGGGAGGCAGCTGCAGGGGGGTTGGTGTTTTTGTCAGGTGGAAACTTCCCATCTCAGGCCCAGTTTAATTTTATTTTGAAGGGAAAGCAGAAGTGCTCAGCCCTGCAGCTCTCAGCCAGCTCGAGCTGCTGAGGTTTTTATGTTTTCATCTCCTTTTAGTTATTGCAGACAATAACAGTGCAAATGGTTTTGGGAATAGAAAATTTCCATTAGGCTTTGTTGGGTTTTTTTTTTTTTTTTCCCCTCTCTCTGGGGACATGGTGTTAAGGACAATACATTAATTCTTTTATTGTCTTTTCCTTTATTCCCTTTTCTTTCTGGCGAAATAAACTCGGTGTTTTCCCCAGCTTTCCAGGAAAGCTGCTTTCCCCAGGGCTGGGTAGTGCCTGCCTGGCCCTGGGGAGGCTCTGGGAACATAATGGGCGTTTTCAAAGTCTAATGGGTACTAAGTGGAATATTTCAGGCTTAATCACTGTTGAATCATTGACCCTTCCTTCATATTTACATCTTTTTTAAATCGCTAAAGCTGTGAAAACAAAGGAAAGTCCCAAAGCAGCAGCTGCCTTGTGCAGCCTGGGGAGGGAGAGCAGGGATGGAAATGTGGGAGTTGGGATGGGAAATGTGGGAGTTGGGATGGGAATGTGGGAGCTGAGATGGAAATGTGGGAGCTGAGATGGAAATGTGGGAGCTGGAATGGAAATGTGGGAGTCAGGATGGAAATGTGGGAACTGAGATGGAAATGTGGGAACTGAGATGGAATTGTGGGAGCTGGAATGGAAATGTGGGAACTGAGATGGAATTGTGGGAGCTGGAATGGAAATGTGGGAGTCAGGATGGAAATGTGGGAACTGAGATGGAAATGTGAGAGTTAAGAAGGGAAATGTGGGAGCTGGGTTGGAATTGTGGGAGCTGGGTTGGAATTGTGGGAACTGAGATGGAAATGTGAGAGTTAAGAAGGGAAATGTGGGAGCTGGGTTGAAATTGTGGGAGCTGGGTTGGAATTGTGGGAACTGAGATGGAAATGTGAGAGTTAAGAAGGGAAATGTGGGAGCTGGGATGGAAATGTGGGAGTCAGGATGGGAAATGTGGGAGCTGGGATGGAAATGTGGGAGAGGGAAGGAGGGGAGAGGAGACTTCAAGGAAAGGAAAAGGACGGGAAGGAAAGGGAAGGAAATTTCAAGGAAGGGAAAGGGAAGGGACAGGAAGGAAGGAAAGGAAAGGAAATTTCAAGGAAAGGTTATAAAATCTTGTGACTCTCAGAGAGTCTGAGCCAGCTGACCGTGATTGGCCATTAATTAAAAACAACCAACATGCACCAATCCCAGATGTTGCATTCCACAGCAGCAGGCAATCGTTGTTTTTCTTTTCCTCTGAGGCTTCCCAGGAGGAAAATCCTGAGATTTTTCATCAGATGTGTCTGTGACACTCTGGGGTGCCCTGGCTGCTCCTCACCCCCCTGGGCAGCCCATCCTGCTGCCTTTGCCAGGTGTTCAGTGCAGAGGAAATGGCCAGGGCAGGGTCAGTGCAGGGCTGCAGGCCAGGCCTGACCCCGCTGTGTTCTGGGGCAGTTCCCAGAAAGGATTTCCAGGCAGCAGAGCCCCTGGAAACCCGAGCTGTGACTCAGGACAGCTGCCTATGGAACAGTTGATGCCTCCTGCTGCTGATTCACTGCCCAGACCCGGGGCTGAGTGGGAGATGCTGCTCCCATCCCTCCTGGGAGCAGCCCCAGGGGCACAGCAGGGTGGGTCAAGCCCCAAATCCCCCCTTGGAGCCCAGGCTCAGTGCCCAGCACGGCTCCAGGGAGGGAAGGGCAGCAGGGATTGCTCAGCTCCAAAGGAATGGATGAGGAGGCAGCAGGAGAAGCCTCTGTGCTGCTCAGCATCCAGCCCAGAGCCAGGGATGGGAGCCTGGCTCCTGGAGAGAGCCTGGAGTGACAGGACAGGGAGGAAAACAGCTTCACACTGACAGGGAGTGGGCTGGGATTGATTTCGGGAGAAATCCATCCCTGGGAGGGCGAAATCCATCCCTGGGAGGGCGAAATCCATCCCTGGGAGGGCAAAATCCATCCCTGGGAAGGCAAAATCCTTCCTTGGGAGAGGAAAATCCATCCCTGGAAGGGTGAAATCCATATCTGGGAAGGTGAAATCCATCCCTAGAAGGGTGAAATCCATCCCTGGGAAGGGTGAAATCCATCCCTGGAAGGGTGAAATCCATCCCTGGAAAGGCGAAATCCATCCCTGGAAGGGTGAAATCCATCCCTGGGAAGGCAAAATCCATCCCTGGGAGGGCCAAATCCTCTCTTGGGAGAGTAAATTCTGTCCCTTTGAGGACAAAATTTGTCCCTGTGAGGGAAAAATCCATCCCTGGGAGGGCAAAATCCTTCCCTTGGAGAGTGAGGTCCTTCTGTGGGAGGATGAAATCCTTATCTGGGAGGGCAAAATCCATCCCTGTGAGGGCAAAATCCTCCCCTGGGAGGGGAAAATCCTTCCCTTGGAAGGCAAAGTCCATCCCTGTGAGGACAAAATCCTTCCCTGTGAGGGCAAAATCCATCCCTGGGAGGGCAAAATTTGTCCCTGTGAGGCGAAATCCATCCCAGGGAGGACAAAATCTGTCCCTGGGAGGACAAAATCCTTTCCTGTTAGGGCAAAATCCCTCCCTGTGAGGCTGAGGAGGGTCTGGGATGAATTCCCACAGGAGCTGTGGCTGCCCTGTCCCCAAGGCCAGGCTGGAGCACCCTGGGCTGGTGCTGGTGCTGCTCCCCTGGCTCATTTCTGATTTCCCTGCTGTGGGCAGTGTGAGGTCACTGCTGGCTCTGCTGGAATGACTCAGTTGGGCCTTTGCAGGGCAGTGATTTAGGAGCTGCTGCTGCCCTGGCATCCCTGCCTGGCTGCTCAGGAGCGGCTCCAGATGGATTTCAGTGCTGCAAAAACCACCCCGTGCTTGCAGCAGCAGCTGTGAGAAATGAAATTTTGTTAAACTCGTTACTTAAACGAGCTGGGAGCTCTGGGGGACCTGCACTGAAACCTCATCACGTAGAAATTGTATTTTTTTTCTTTTTTTCCCCCTCAAAACTGGAGCTGCTGCATCACATCTGAGGCCCAGGTGAGGATTTGGGTCCCTTGCAGCAGCATCACCCCTTCCTAAGCTCATTCTTTGCTATTTTTTCCCTTATTTTTCCCCTCCAAAGGAAATTTCCATGCACCAGGGCTGCCCCAGGGGCTGCACAGGAGAGGAAGCAGAAGCTGCTCATGCAGAATCTCCTCTCCTCAGTGCACTGGGGTGAGCTGGGCAGATAAAGGGGAGACCAAAACCCCTTGGGAACCAGCACAGAGAGAGAGAGCAGGAGCTGAATTTTGGGGCTTGAGGCAGCACAGCAGTGGGGCTTGCCCTTAGAGCCAGAAAATTCCCATTTTTCCCTGTTTCCTTTAAAAAAAAGAAGGGAAACCCTGCGGGGAAGCCCTGCCCAGCTCTCTCACAGGAGCAGCCTGTGGGTTTTCTCCTCCTTCCCTCCCTCCCTGAGCAGAAGCAGAGGCTGTGAGGGAGAAATGATGGATCCAGACCCTGGGGATTGATCAGGGTCATTCAGCCAGAGCCTCCTGTGTGCATCCAAAGGGTTCATTAAGCCCTTGTACCTTACATAACATGAAACTTCTGCTTGAAAAGGAGTAAAAATGAGTTTAAAAGGGGCTCTTGCCCAGTTTTTAACCATCC